TTATCAAAAGATAAAGTTCAAGATTTCTCGTGCATACAGTAATAACAAATTTTATACTTCCAACAACAAATTTCGTACTTTTTTACCTTTATAACTTTTTTGATTCGAGCGTCACTAATGAGTCTTTTGTAGAAACGCGCGTCTGGCATCGTAATTTTAATCCTGGTATATATGATGAGTTTTTTTATTAATTTTATTTGAATATGAACTATCTATGTTTAAAGGGACAAAACATAGTGTGAAATTAGCCGGATGAATATGATACCGGTAAATCTGATTGCATGTACTTTGAAGCCAATCGGTCAAATTCCGAGAGAAATTACGCAAACATACAGCCATCAGGTTATAACACAAGATAGACTAAATAATGCAGCATCAACAGTATAGCACATGTTTTGAAAAGTTTATTAAGTTAGCGAAACAAACTGTTTTCCATCCGCTTCGACGTTAAAATTTTCAGGCAAATGTATTTATGCAACTGCTTTTGACAGGTGACTGATACTATACCTAAACAAAAAAAAACCGACCATTTCTTATATTACATCATTTTTTTTATTTCAAAATCATACGATACATTGTACCGAAAGCAATTTGATGCTCCATATGCGCATTTGGAAAAACAAGTTCCTGCACCAAACATCGAAATACAACAATTTTGAAAAAAATGTGTAATTGTTTCCGATTTTTGATAATATATCTAAACAGGTGCAGTCGAACCTAAGAGTATAAAACATTTGGGAGCTTTAAACCGAGAATGGTTCAATTCAATTATTGTATTCATAATAAATGATGGAAGAGCGATAATCCAGAACAAAATAAAAGTAGGAGGATATGGGAGATTTTTATTTTAGTCAACGAGTTTCAACACTAGCCTGTCGTTCCGATTGGTACTGCAATACCATGGATTTTACAATCGGGTACAGCAGATCTTGATCTATGCTACCAGTTACGTCTGCAATACAGGTATTGTGTATGCGTATGTAACGTAATGTGTTGTTGCTTCCTACCAATTGTCTATCTAATCATTATGAAGCTACGTGATATGTCAGAATTTGTTTTTATAAAAAATCGAAATTGTATGCAATTTAACTGCAAAGATATGTTGTGTGTTATACTTGTCAATTTTAGCGGATTGGTACTTTAACAACGAGACCATAACTACACAGAAACTACATTTGTCTCCATGTGAAGCATAATTCATACTAAGAATCCCTGGAAAAACACACAAAGAAGCTTTAATTTAGCTTTCCATTACACTGGTGATGTCCTGTGACCCAATAATCCGTTTATATGTGAATGTTTTCATCGCATTTATCTGAATTAACTTGATATTCAAAGTACAATGAAACTATAAATTCTGCTTCGTATTTGGACCTTTTTTTCTTAATATTGACACATGAATGACTTCAAACTAGGATCTATGACAAGCGTGACGATTTAAGTTTCCCGTTGTCAACTTCACAATTCCTGGTATTAATTCACTTTCGTTCCCGTTGTATAGCGTTTGTTTACATATCTAAGTTGATACCTTACGCGCATGTATCGCATTAAGCAGTGAAAACCTTATCAAGCAGGATTATGTAGAAAACAACTGAAATCGACAATTTACACGTTTTACGGTGTATGTGTCTGAACGCACGAGAGTCATGTTTTCGTCGTCTTGGATCTCTAGATAAGAGAATAGTTGATTGTTATGTAAATTTACCGATTGTGTTCCTAAGCGTGACATTTTGGCTGAGCCCGGATCTGCATGGCTTGTGATTCACTCATAACAGGAGACGATTACCCGGTCTCGTTCTTTAAAGGGTTCTTGCGATTCCCTCAGATGTTTTCACATTCAGTATGGATTTTCAAGATTTTATAAACTGCTATTACCTCTAATGTATGTACAGGTGTACCTTTTTAGCTCAACTGGTCCTATTGCCATAACTTGACGTCCGTCGTCGTCGTCGTTAACTTTTTCAAATATCTTCTTCTCTGCTACTGAACCAATTTCAACCAAGCTTGGGTTGAATGATCCTAATGGTATCTGGTATAAAAAAAATCCGGTCTGTCAACAAATATGGCCGCCATGGCTAAAAATAGAACATAAGGGTTCAATGCATTAAATGTCTTCTATCTTGAAAACTATAATAGATAGAGAAAATATGACAGGCGCATACTTGCTTTGAATGTCAATATAGTTCTACTTCCAGTTTGCACAAAAATTATCAGATGACTCTTGAATGAATTATTGTCATTAAAATTCTACAGACTTTATGTAGAAACTGTAAAATGGCAAAAATGATTAGCAATACAAGATCTATATAAATTCACATATGACCGAAACCATTGAATGACCCCTTAAGGAGTTATTACCCATTAATGACGATTTTTGATTTACGCTAGTATTTAAGCCTATTATCTATTACCTATTATAAAACTATATTAGATAGGTAGAAACTGAAACAGCAAAAACAATCAGAAATACAAGATCAACAAAAATGCTAGAAAAAAATAATTAATGCGCTCAAAATGGCAAAAACAGTTATTTGATTGACAGCCATATTATATTTACTGCGTTTTTAAATACTATTTCTAATGCTTATAATATTAGACCATTAAAGAGTTAAGCTCCATAATCTAAAAAAATAGATGAACAAATGAAAGAATATTGAAGCCAAATGTGGAGCAGGATCTGATTAGCCTTCCGGAGCGACTGAGATCACCCCCCAGTTTTTAGTGGGGTTCGTGTTGCTCAGTCTTTGGTTTTCTATGTTGTGTTTTGTGTACTGTTGTTTGTCTGTTTGTATTTTTCTTTTTTAGCCATGGCGTTGTCAGTTTATTTTCGAGTTTGAATGTCCCTTTGTTATCTTTATCCTCTTGAACAAATTAATTAATGTGCCTGTTAACAAGGATAAGCTATGTTTTCAATATCATTGACCTTGTATATAAAAGTATGTATAAAACTATGATTGCCAATGAGACAACTCTGCATTAGAGAACAAATGAAGTAAGAAGGTTGTATATAATTAGCAACTATAGGTCACCGTAGGCCTTCAATAATGAACAAAACACATACCGCATAGCAAGCTTTAAAGGCCTTTGTGTTCTTATACAGTTTTTTTTAACCCATTTGTATTGTATATTTAGCAATCATGACTCATAATTCTGACAGTTATATTATTCATTTATAGACACGCTGTCAAATAAACAAAATAACAATTAAAACTAAATCTATAATTAGCAATATGGTAGTCATCTGACTAATTTCCGGGATAAAACTTCCTTCTTGGAAAGACAAGTAATCTTCATTATTTGATAGCCTTTTTAATCAAACTTCTTACATCCTCTTGTTTGAAATATGAGCTGAATGGTTTCTAAAATATTTTTTTTTATTTAAAAAAACATGTAAATGTTTTCACGTGTGTTTAACCTAATTAAATATGGCCTGGCAAAACTATATTTTGGAAAAGAATGTCGCACAAAATATTTTGGCTATTTTAATTTCTATTCCCAATGTAAAACTAAGTTTCCAACTACCTGATATATTGTTTTACAATAAGTTTCAAATAAAATTTCTGTGAACGACGATGAGGGGGATTTTTAACGACCTTGACTACCCATGAGGGTCCTGCACGGTTGTTGAACAAAGCTAAAATGATGGATTCGGCTATAACGCAATATATGATTTAAAATGTTGGTCCCCTATGTCATAGAAAACTATAAAGTCTATAATAGGTATGAAATCTGGTCAATCAGAACATACTAGAAAAACCAATTCCCATTCAGTTTAAAAAAAAACATTTTATAATCGACTCTATCACAATTAGGTCGCTAGGAAATTGTATATAATTTATAACGGTATCTGTAGGAAATTTTTCTATTCTTTGTTATAGCAGGAAAAAAACGTACTGTGACCCTATTTTTTCTTTCGATGTTTACAAAAGCATTTTACAAATCCTATCTTCTCTAATTTTATTTTAAAATTCTATCTCATAGAAGAGGGACAAAAGATACCAGAGGGACAGTCAAACTCATAGATCGAAAACAAACTGTCAACGCCATGGCCAAAAATAAAAAGACAAACAGACAAATAATAAGACAGATGACACAAGTATATTTACCTTCTAATCACATAACGATGGTTTTTTCACTGTATAATCCATATACAAAGTGTCATATTAACAACCTGTAGCTTAAAAATAAGCTCGTTGACCTATAATTTTTATTAAACTTTTAGACATATCACAATATATACTACATTTTGGCAAACTATAAAACAATTCTATAATTTTTCATTTATAATCCCATACTACCTTAATCTACCTTTTTTGTACATGTATTTTATTTGATAATCAGGCTGGGAATATAGGGAGAATATGCTCAATATATAAAAGATAATTAAGGACTATGATGCCCGATGGTATTTTAAATATTGTGCAATCAAAAATTGGTAAGGGAATCTCAATTTTTAAAAATCTTTACTACGTATCTTTCAAATATTATAAGTCAAGTCTTCAGAAGTTAGATGGCTACCCCCTTTTTCATGTGAAAAAAAATGTTTGGCATACATTCGTTACATTTGCTGCTTTTTGTACCAACCGCCGCTTACATCAACATACCAATTTACTTATTGCATGGACATAACTATTTTTTAGGTGTCTGAAACCAGTAGAAATGCAATCTTTATCATGTCTTTTTTATACATTCATACATCAAAAAATTTAATCAATCGCCAAAATAACCAACTTTCTTATAGGTATAATAATAACATTTAAAAAAAATCATCATAGATACCAGGAATAAATTGTGTACGCCAGACGCGCCTTTCGTCTATCCCATATCTGCATTTATTTATAAAACAAACAAGGAAATTTTATATTATCAAGAGATACATCCGGTAAATCAAGATTTATCATATCACAATCAATCAGGAAACTAGAAGGAAACCATTTTGTTTGTCATAAGGAAATTTCTAAACTCTTCAAATAAATTTCATATTCCTTATTGCTATATACTTTACCATATAAGTATCAAAATTGTATCTAAACACACAGGCTAATAATTTATCGCAATGGATACGTAAGAATTGTGTTTGAAACTTATATGTATTTATATGTGAAACCAGACATTTCACAATGCAAAGACTTGATTCTCAAGTGTCATTATCTTGTGCTGAATGTGATACAAGAAAGAATCTAAAATATCGCTGCATGGAATGTAAAGTTACAATATGTGAAAAATGTAAGGATATTCATTCTTTTTTTCCATCAAATTCAAGTCACACTGTTTTGTCTTTTGATGACATCGCTTCATACAATTGTACAGAAAATGAAATCAATAAAATGCCTTGCAAGAAACACGTCACAAAAAAGTATTCATTTTTTTGTCAAACGTGCAAATTCCTGATTTGTGAAGATTGCTTTGCTGAGGGCCACTCATATCATAGAATAATTGAAATCGACCAATTTTTACAAGAGAACTTTAGAACTGAAGACAAAAGTGGAAAGCCAACTTTCAGACGAATGTCTTCCGATGATTCGGATATTCTATTAAAAGATTGTCCTGATGATGATGGTAGCCTGTCTCCAGTCTGGCATTCAGCCTGTGCAGGCTCTGTATTCATGAGGAGAACAGTCGAATTCAAAGTCATTAAAACTTTCAAAACACATTTACCTGCAATAAACTGTATAGAAATGGTAAATACAGACGAAGCATTCATTTGTCATTATGAAGGAGATATTTGTAAAATTAAACTAACACCAACATTAATTACCAACAGACTGAGGCATATCGAGCAAGTTAGGGGATTAACACCAGCTGACATAGCTGTTAATTCAGTTGGGGATATTTATTTCATATGCAAAATTGACAAATGCATAAAACTAGTGAAGAAAAACAAGCACAATAACATTCAGGTATCATCACTACCGAAACATTTCACCATGGAACCTCTGTGTATTCATTGTGAGAAAGACAATAATCCAATCATCTGGGTAGGACTTGCAGAATTTGGAGCAAATTTTAAACTATCATATCATAGCTCTCGTCAAGTAGTTTCCATATTATCCAATGGAAATCTACGTAATATTTTCGAATATACCGAAGAAAATCAACAACTGTTTACATTCCCATGGCGAATAACATCAAACCAGGGTAGAATTTATGTTATTGATAGAAGTAGTGAATCCACTGGAACGGTTGTAGCACTTAACAAGTATGGCAATATGAAATGGAGATACAGTGACCTACATCCAAGTTTAAGCCAGAAGCCATTCCTTCCTTCTGATGTAGTAGTTACAAAATCCACAAATATAATAGTATTAGATTCAGCAAACAATGCATTCCATATACTTAACATTGATGGTAATCTAATTTTACAACAATCACTAGAAGGCTTCGAAATCAAATATCCATTCAGCATGAAATTTGATGAATCAAGCAACTTATGGATTGGCAGTGGATCCAACGGTGCTACAGACAACAATGCTAAACTGTACAAATTTCAAATTACAGGAATTTAATAAGAAAAATAATCAGCTATTTTTAAGTGATTATAGACAAAACATTTTGTTTTATTTGCAAAGTTCAGTCTGTACAAATTTACGGATTACATTCATTACATTAAATTGGAATACATTGAAATTTTACAGTTCTTTCTTTCGTTCCTTCTATGAATCGTCGTTCTCTATCGGCACACTCTTACATAGTAGGATTGTTTATGCGCTATATACAGATATACAACCGCACCCACTAAAATCTAATATCCACTAAAACATGCCACTAATCCCCTAATGCATGTACATAATAATTATATAACGGTAAATACGTGCTGCACATATACGCTGCTGGAATATACACGTTTATATATCAGTCCATTACATTCGGTTAAAGAAAGAAGATAATTTGAGTAAATAAAAATAATCACTATTATATTTCTCAAATACTAGTTGCTATTATATGCGAGGTATGCTGATTTATCATTTATTAGATTATCAAACATTCAGTAGCGAAGAACTAAAGGTTAATGTCATCAGCTTTAAATATAATGGATCATACAGGATAAAGTAAAATCACAAAAATACTGAACTCCGAGGAAAATTCAATCGGAAAGTCCCTAATCACATGGCAAAGTCAAATGACAAAACACATCAAACGAATGGACAACAACTGTCATATTCCTGACTTGGTACAGGCATTTTCAAATGTAGAAAAAGGTGGATTGAACCTGGTTTTATAGCGCTAAACCTCTCACTAAATGCGTTCATAGGAGGTTTGTGTAATATACGCTCAATATTGAAAGGGAACTTTAAAGTACTATGCGATAAATACGTAAAAACAAATTAAAACACTACGTACTACAAAGGTATAACGAACATACCGAACTGAAAAGCAATTTCAAAAAGGGGGAAGTCCATAAAAAACTGACAAATTAAACGCTATCAATCAACGGAAAAATATGCAAGGAAATAAGAGATAGAAAGCCACTTAAGCACTATACATAGGTGTTTTCAATATATAAACACTACTACTCCAGTGAATCGTCCTTATTAGTTAAAAGGTGAAGTAGTTCTAGATATTAAATGTATGGAACGCCATCACCTGTTTCATTCTACTGGTGTTCAGAAGGTATTACTGGTATCGTTTTTCTGGAGGTGTCTTCCCGGTTTTTGGCGGGGTCAGTATTGCACAGTCTTTAGTTTTCTATGGTCAACGGCATACGCAAAGAGAAACCATCTCACGATAAGATGAAAATAGCTCAAGCTGGACAACCTGTTAAAAACATTTTAGCACAGACTTTTATTCCCATGTTGTCTCGGAGAAACCTATTTCATTGTTTCTGACGCAGAAATGTGGCATTGACTTAGCTGATCTTTCTTATATAACGATTCCTCCAATGGATCAATACGCAGACCGTTATACTTTTACAACTCTAGAATAGGTTAAGGGAAACTTTACCAATTATTTCATGTTTGTTGTCAAGAATTCTCGGGAGAAATAAAACATAACAAAAATACCGAACTTCAAGTTAAATTCAAAACGTGGAAGTCCATAAAAACTGACAAAATCAACGTAATCAACCAACGGAACCAGTAGAAAACAACTGTTATATTTCAAACTTGTTACAGGCTTTCCCGAAGAAAATGAGTTTTAAAAGTCATTACAGACACGAGCATAGCGAACGAGTTGGGATATATAAACACCGTAAGACGGTGCCAAAGGAACATCACCTTCCAAAAAGGGAAAATTAACAACAAGGAAAGAAAAATCATCCCTTTTGTCGTAAATTTTTGTGTAGAGTCTCTGCTGTAATACTGAGATATCTAAATCTAAGAAAGGACAGTTATTGCTGTTAATATTTGCTTTATTTAAAATAATTTCCTTTGGGTAAATTTCAGCAGTATATTTAGTGAATTCTTGATTATTTAACGAAAAAAATATCATCAAGATAACGGTAAGTGTTGTTGAATTTATCAATAAAATGGAATTTCGACTTTAAATAAACTTATTCTAAAAGGTTACCCATTCAACACTGTAATCAAATCTTTGAATATTGTTTTATTGGTATAAATATGGATTTTATTATCAGTAAATTAAAACCATACTAAATATTACACATATGTAATTTCACGGTACTACAATCTGTCGATACCTATTGTTTGGCATTGCACAAGGTCATGTTTTCTCTGACTGTTAATGACGTCATTGCATTCAATCCATTTTATGTTGGATGTATACTGATTGATATTTTAGTCATAGATACATGATTTTTTTTATTAGTTGTTTTTGGCTTTGAACTAGCTGTCAGTAACTGTGAGTACTCTCAGATCTGTACTTAGTATCTTTTTGTTGTGTGGATGTATAAATACCCGTCAACGTCCACTCTTTGTTTTTGTTAGATGTATTTCTATTTGTATCCATCTAATGAGAAGCCCTTTTCCACTGATTTTTATAGTTTGTTCTTATATTGTGCTGTTACACCACTGTCCCAGTCCCAGGTTAGGTGAGGGTTGAGCGCTCACAAACATGTTCACCCCGTTACATTCTTTATGTGCCTGTCCCAAGTCAGGAGCCTGTAGTTCAGTGGTTGTCGTTGGTTTATGTTTGTCATATTTGTTTTTTCGTAAATTGTTTTGTTATAAACTAGGCCGTTAGTTTTCTCAATTGAATTGTTTCATATTTTTCATGTCGGAGCCTTTTATAGCCGACCATACGGTATTGGTTTTTTTCATTGTTGGAAGGCCGTACGGTTGCCTATAATTATTTACATCCACTTCATTTGATCTTTAGTATAATAGTTTCATTGGCAATCATACCACATCTCCTTATTTTTATATTTATAGCAAGCTAAACCTGCTACTTGTATGGCAGTTGTTTATAGTTACGTTATATAAAAAATATATATAAATTGGGTGTGAAACGGGGTCTAAGGCTTGACCACAATCCGTTACCTAGCAACACGATTTATCAACATATACCTTGAGATCACTTTGTCGCTTGCTAAGTCAAAATATAGGTCGGTGCGCATTCTGTTATCCGTATTTATCACCTAGTGTGGAAAAAAGTATTGCCGTAGGAAATTTTTTATTAACTTTTAAAGTAAGGGTGGGTAGGGGGTCGGACCCAAACTTTGGACCGTTATATATAACTAACCACTATTTTTTCATGTTTGGTTGTAAGTGATCGCTTCGATTTAGCAATCATGTTTAACAAATACCAACAGTTGCAACCTTATATTGCCAAAAAAACGAAACTCCGAGCCGAACCTATGGCAACATTTATAAAAGAATTCAATATGATGATGAAAGTGTTTGCAAAAAGCATGGACAATATCCGGAACCGTGTTGGTATCTGTAACAACACGAAATCTTTAAAACTAGCAATCATTCCCAAATTTAAGAAACATACTATATCTAACGATTTATTGGCTGTAATCCACAGGACACGGCCCAAGTTGGTATTTGACAAACCAATCTACCTAAGTTTTGAGATTTTTGACCTGCTAAAACATTGATGACTGATTTTAAATAAGACTACCTCAAACTCAAATACGAAACGCGAGCCACAATCTGCTTCACACACAATACTAATAGTCTCAATTGCAATATTCAGATCACAGACATTTACAAATACATATAAAAAATGTGCATCAGTGGTACGAGATCTCAAATTACCCGACTGACCATAAATCCAAAGTTTAGACTAAGGTCAACAAGAAAGATTTTGGACGTTGCCCATGTTACCAGAGATCAAGGTAGACATTGCTTCTAAAATGGCCAATAGCGCTTACGCCCTTGACCCGTACGAATTTGTCATCATAGTGTGAGGGGTACCTGGTGTGTCGCATAGTCCAAATAACTTTTGCCGACTGGTCAAACTTAGACATTCTTAAGCCATGGTACCAGGGGTAGAGGGAGACGTTGCCTCTAAATGGTCTTTAGCACTTATATTCTAGACCTATTGCTTATTCTCCTCCGATATCTCTTTGGACATCCGATATTTATCTTTCTGGTACAGAGCTCAAAAATCTTCTTCAAGTTTATTCACAAAGATCTTGACCACATCTTCACTCTCTTTCTGCATTGTACAATTTGTATATCAAAGTGGTTCTCCAGTTAACACCCTGTCGTCATAAAACTTAATGATATAGCAAATAATTCCGGACGGTGTGCGACTCTGGTAGGGTTTGGTGTCTGGTTTGCAGTCTTTCATTCGGCACTAGCGACTCGTGATTTCTTCGGGATGGATCTCTTTCCGTTCCTTGATTTATTTTACAAAGTCTTGAATTGTTTTCTCTAAATCCCTTACAATTTTAATATTTGACTTGACGTACTCAGGAAAGCATTCCAATTCTGCATACACTTTGAAATAGTGGTACCTTCATTGATCTCATATGGTTTTCAAAATCTTGTTAGGCCCTGGATCCGGCATCTTCACATTCGCAGTTATCTTGTTATTACCTTACTGTTTTTGTTGGGAGAGGGTCACTTTTAAAGTGATTAAAAGAGAGGCGAAAGTTACCAAAGGGATATTTAAACTCGCAAGTCGAAAACAAACTGACAATGCCATGGCAAAATACAAAGCACGACGAAAAAATAAACAAGTTCACAAAGCAATGTGTCAATCCGTCTGTCTCAATCTTCAACAAGTCCACATTCAGTTCTCTTTTCTTCGAAATCGTCAGTGGGTAGATCTTTTTCTTTTCTAAACTATTCAAGTTGATGAATGTATTCGGATTCTTTTTCTCACACTTGGTAATGTTCTTGAGATTCGCTGGGAAAACAATCCTTTCAAACGTTAACTCGTTTCCAATCCTGGTACTTAGTTAGCCGGTCAACGCTTTTAAGGTCTACCTACCCCTTCGTGGTGTATTGACGCCAAAACCGCCGACTTAAAACATTGTTTGTCCTGGTTCTTCACTTCCATGATGGCTTTATTGTCTGCCGGCCACTTATGTAAGATCTAGTATTGAGATCCGGCAATTGATATATATTTGCCGATATAAAATTTTATACAAATCACCTCTTTCGGTGCCTTTTCACTTTTATCCTATGTCCAAATTGCATATTTCTCTCAAAAGCTGGTATACATCATGTTCAACATATCTTCAAAGTTGATCGTCTTTGTGAATACTTTGTCCAGTAAT